GGATTCTGGGGACCCCGGCCTCTCCTGAGACCCCCTCCCTCCCAGCCCCTCTGTCCTCCTGTCCTCCTCAAGGCTGTCCATCTGCTCCGCGGGCTTCCCTTTCGTAGTCAGCCCTTCCCCCACCCTGCGTTGGGGTGGGTGACTTGGCTACCCTGTGACACCCAATATTCTTCCGTCCCAAGTTGAACCCAGCTGGAAAATGGTCTCTTCTGGTAGGCGGTCATCTTATTTTGTCTCCATCCTTGTAAATCCGTGGATGAGGGGGATCAGAAATAGCAAAGGAAAGAGCGAATGAGAGAGAAATAGGAAAAGTGCAAATGAGAAAGGAATGAAGGAGAACCGTTGTAGAAAGAGTGACTGAGTCACTTGTAAAGGGACAGTCAACGAAAGAGATGTAGTCTTCAAAAGAGCAGGTGCATAAAATAGAAACGTGAATAAAGCAACAGGATCTCCATGGATTGGAGAGCAACCTAGAGAGAGGGGCCCTGGGTCAGCGGTAGGAGGTGGAGCACTTCATACAGAGAGCGGCCGGGTAGGATAAACGAGTTGGGACCTCAGCATTCAAAGCATGGTACCCTGGGAGAGGAAAAGAGGACTGCTAATGAGTAGAATACCAGACGAAGAGAGAGAGCAGGCAGGAGCACAGCCACCTGGGATGCCAGCGAGTGGGGAGGGTGACCGGGATAGAAGAGGTGCAAACGGAAGGAGGAGGGAGAGCAGAGGTGGGGGAGGAGGCAGAAATTCAGGGGTATTTAGGACAATGAGAAAGCTTAGGCGGAAGGAGGAACAAGAGGGGAAGCAATTGCAGGGTGGGAAGGGACAGGAGTAAGAGAAGAAATAGAGAGGAAGGCAGACACAGCAGGAGAGTAGAGGGGAACAAAAAGAGACCGAGAAGGAAATAGGGAGACGTAAACAGAATGAAAAGGAAACATAATAGTGCAGGTAGAGGGGGAAACTGGATCCAGATGAGTAGTGGGTTGTTTGGATGTGGATAATTAGTGATTTATTGATTTATGGCCTTAGACTCTTAAGAAATTTGTTTGCTTAAATTATACAGGTGAGGATGAGAATTGCACTGGTTTCCATAAGGTTTGGGCATTTTGAAATTGTTTGCATTATAAAATAACTTCCATTTGTAATCCCTCTTCAGCCGAGGGACAGTGACTAGACTTAGTTGTGGTTCAGGCCATTCCCTTTTCCTGTCATGGGGGAGAGGACTGGGGAAAAAATGACAGCCCTGACATGATACCTCTTAAAGGGAACGTTAAAAGTGTTCTTGTTTTTAAAATTTTTTTAAATGGAGGTACTGGAGATTGAACCCAGGACTTTGTGCTTGCTAAGCACTCTACCGCTGAGCTATACCCAGCCACTGAAGGGGTTTTGTTTTGTTTTTAGTGGATTTACCTTTTTCTCTTTGTTTTCTTTACATTTAATTCTTTTGTAGTTTTGAATAAATCTTAGCACATTCAATTTCTGCTTCTGGATAATTAATTATTAACTTCTGAGATAAGTTTGGTGGCCTTAGGTCATGTAATTCTTTTCTAAATGATATATCTTCCATTTTAAAAACTTTATAACACCAGAATTTTTAGGTTAAAAATAATTCACAAATGCTTTCTCTTTATTGATTCATATTTATTGTCGCCTTAGTGATTCTCCCCTCTTTATATATTAGAAAAGTTCTTTGGTAACTGGTAAATAATTTTAGACTATTTTGATGAGTACTTGGTAAAGATGTCAATGATCTTTTATGTTAATGGTCAAAGCCTAGTTTAACCAGGTGATCTAATCAGTTTTCCCCCTCTTGTTTGTTGTGTGAAAATAGTGAACTGTGAGATGACATGAAGATGTTCCCTCAGGTCCCTCTTGACAGTCTTTGCAAATGGTGGACGATGGGCTGGATGGACTTGGAACCTTCTTCCGACAGAGCCTGTGTGTTCACGATGAAGAACTTTGCTCAGAGCTCATTTCTGAGTTGACCCCTAATGATGTTTTCTTTACCCATGGCTATATTTTTGCAATTCTTCTTAATTTTTAAAATTTTACTGTGATCTTCTGGAAAAGAAGAATTAAATGCACGGTACCAGTGTGAGTAGACCTTGAAAGAAACATTTCCTTTGCTCAGGTTCATGAAAGATGGTCCTGGTGTTTTAATTTGGAAGGATGAGAAGGACAGACACTGCCCACTGGCCCTTCAGGATCCCATTTCAGAATTCAGTTACACTGGATTCTGTTCACTCCACCCAGCATTTCCTCAGAAAGAGCTCCCCTCTGGGCCTCAGGGAGCCCACTTGTAATACAGAGATGGGAGTCTAGACCAGAAAGTCTCAGTCTGAGCAACCCTGACCCCTGAAATGATTGGCCAAATTGGGTGTGTGTGTGTGTGTGGCAGTTCTTCTTGGAGAGTGTCCAGTTATGTTTAGAATTTTAAATGGATCCCATTCCCCCTAGAATGAAAAAAGAAAACTAGACATTTTGGAATGGAGACAAGAAGATAGGCTCAGAGTAAAGGCGACCATAGTCAGATGTATTCCTCTGCAGTAAGTCTAATTTGAGGAGAGTTTTTATGTCAGTTCTGACATTCAGAACTCCGCTGGCTCTTACTTGCCCTCAGGACCAGATCCTGACTCCTCATTGGCTCCACAGCCCTGTGTCGTCCTCCCAGCCCTGCCAGTGTCTCCACCTCATCCTGGGAGCTCACCTTGTTCTCAAGGTTCACTCTGCCTCCGTCACATTCACCTTTTCTCTGTTCCCAGACACCAGCACCTTTTCTGTGTCAGATCAGAGTCCCTGTTCTTATCTTTTCCCTTTAAATCTCCATGGCTCAGGCCCTTTGTCCTCCATCAGGTCTAGGCTCCAGGGTTGTGTCCCCAGCACCTCCTGACAATCTCTGTCACATTCACCAGGTCCTATTACCTCTGTGCCAGTCACCTTCATCAGAAGAGCCCTTCTCCATGGATTATTTGGAGCCTTTCCCATTCTTCCCACATTGAAGGGCTGACAGTGTTCCTCTGCCTCCCAGGATGGCTGCAGCACCTCACTCTGGGGAGGTGATTAGATGCTGGGACTCTGGGTTGGGCTGAATAATCCTCAAGGGAGGCCAGGGGAACAGGGTAGATGATGCAGATGGTGCCATATTTGTTCTGGATGTTTCAACCCTAGTTGATCCTTACCCTGTGTGCTACGCAATTACTCAAAAGAAGACTCAAAAGATGCAAGGTGTCCCAAAAATCCCAGCAGAACTGGTGTCCTCATGCAGTGTCCTGAGGTGTCCCCATGTTAAGTGTGCTGTGTCACTGCTGTGCTGTAGCCCCCAGGTGTTCCAGGCTGTGCACATCCAGGGACCCA